CGATAAATTTAAAATAGGATAGTAAACAAATCGGTTACCGAAGCAGTAGATATAAAACAGGTAAAATTAGCATATAACATATCTGCTCGTCTTATCTGCCCATATGAACATGACGGGAACATTAAAATAAACATCTGATTCCTAGAAATGTTATACATGTGTTCTATTTTTAGCACTGACTGCGGAAACAGGGTTAAATGATAACTACACGTCATATGCCGAATTTATTTATCTATGATATATTTCTTAGATAAATGAACAGCCATGCCCATTTTAAGGCGAACTTCTCCTTGCAGAAGCTATAGTTTGGATGTGTCTCCCCATTAAACAATATGCTCGTTTACAAATGTCCCTCCTTTGGTGTAAGGTCATAACAGGCGACTAAATTTGGGATCTGATATTTTCTCTTCTTGCTAAACTAATTTGGTTTTTCTTAAATTTACCTGTGATAGTACATCACTTTTCGTCTTTAGTTTAGTTTTTGTCCCTTTCCGGAAGGTTTTTGATTCTGTCCTGGCAGAGACATTCCAAAGTCTTTAAAAATGGTCGTTAAACTTTACTTTACACTGATAATTATGATGTTCGACCTAGTCACATCATGATGAGATGTGACCAAGTCGAATACTTCAGTGTGATAGCACTATGATGCCGGGTTCAGACTTAGATGGTACGATAGACATATAAAATAAATATCACCTTTTATAGGAAATTTAGAAACAAAGAGTTACTCGAATAATGAATTTAAACTCTATTTTACCAGCTCCAGCTGTTAAAATATTAAAAGCATCAGCCACAGAACAAAAATCATATATACTAACGTTCAAATTTCAGGTGAATGGTGAAATGATTTATCTCATTTGTAAAGCTATCCTGTCTACGTGACTAAATTCACTTGTAACGATTATATATCTATCTTCAAATCAACAAAGTGCAACAAATATAAGAAGAAATAAAAGCTGGGGGTGACTTTATAGGCCTCATTGAATTATATAGCATTCCATGGTTACATGGCAATATGTTTACACTATGTAATCAGACCTGCATATCTTTCCGTGTAGAGTTTCAAATTGACATTTATTTATAAACATTATATGCTAATGCGACCATTTATTGTAATGAACAGTGGATATAAGAAAACACCACTTATACATTATGCAATCTTTCAAAAAGACGAAATATAAGCCAATTATAATTCGGTATTACAATCATTTAGATTGCCTATTAATGATAAGGATACGGACATCCCCCGTTTATAATGGATTCTCTAAACTTCACAAGAACCCATATCAACAACGTTTCATAGCTAGCTGTTCAACCAAGCATGTGTTTAATCTACTAACATCCATTCTAAGTACTATCAAATCTGGATTCAAATCTGGTCTTATTGTGATACTGTTTCCTTAAGAAGTGGAATTAATACTATGTGGATTTTGAAGAACTTCAAAGAGTTTTTGACCAATCTTCAACACTCTCTGCTAAAACATTTCTTTTCTAAGTGCATTTGATTTTCACTCCCTGTACACCACAATACTCTGAAAGAACGCCCTCGTTCTCTTGTTATGAGAGCTTCCTTCTCCAAGGAAGGTGAAGGGCGGTATAAATATACTGTTGTGAGCTATATTGAAGGGAATTTCGTAAAATTTAAATTCGAGCTTTTGGTTGACAACATCTTCGTCTAGTTTGGTGGTATGATTTTCATACAGAGTATTGACATACTAATGGGAATCAATTACCCCTTCTTCGCTGACTAGTTTTTGTTTTCATAGGAGGCTGAATTTATTAAAGAGTTATATTCACCAGAATTGGTTTCTTCACTTTTCTGTTGTGCGTGCATTTTCCTTTCCATTACATAGGTTTCAAAAATTATGCAAATATTTAGGTTCAGTATAGGTAAACTTTAGAGACACGTCATTTCTGTCATCTGTACCGCATTTACATAAAAATCAAAATAAGAATTTCTCGGCAGGAATTTTGCGTTTAAATAACATGTTTGCCACTCTTATATGGAAATTTACATATTTTATATTAACTTCAAAGAAATCTTAAATCATCACCGGTACTTATTTAACTTTCTTTTGATAATAAAACTTTACCAATTATCTTGTTCAAACGCATAGAGTGTTAAAATCGAATAAGTTGTTTAACAAATCCGCTAATTTAGTATATAAACACAGTTTTGTAATTTTTCCTACCAGAAAACAACTGATATATATGATACATATGATATAATTCCAGGTAAAGAATTCCATCCAAAATGTTGTCTTGTTGTCAAACGTAACGTCAAACTATATGACGTTATAGAACGCCTAAATACGTCCAGAACATTTTTTGACACTGGTTCATTTTGTCTTGTTGTTTTTTCTTGAGTTTCGCTTTTTTTATTTTATCTTCTCAATAATACAGACATTTTACAGGTCGCATTTTGACAGCATGACGGTATCAGGCGTAAAATATTTGTTGAGGCCGCATGTGTGAGACAACATGACAGAAGCCTCATGTTATACATCGATGCACTTGAAACGGAAGATAACATAAACATGTATGTAAAACAAGACAAAATAATGTTTCGTTTTCATCTTGTTTTATTTATAAGCATTTACAGTTTGGCAGCTATGCATTTCTTCTCACGCTTTATTTCAATATTACGAGGTTCCTCAACACCTAGGTCGTTTAAAGCGCTACCTACGTAACCTCAAGGTCCGAGGTATGCTGTTTGATGTTCACTATCTTGGCGGTTTGTGATTCACGAGAGGCTGAGAAATGAAGTGGTCTGTGCATAGGTGGTTGTGTACTTGGAAAAGACACAAACGTTATGATACTTTTTCTGAATCACATGCGACAAGACTCGACTCACATATGTTCTTTAGTGAGACCTTGCAAGGAAATGATAGGGCATAGGGCAATAAACACAAGCAACTCATACAATATCACAAAAGCAAAGACAAAACAAACAAAACAAAAATATACCGACATGTAAAAACCACAGGCACTCGAGGCCAGGATATTATTTTTTAAACATTGATTTTTGTTTTAGCACTCATGACTGACGTTATTTAAACGAAATATCAGCAGAATTCAAGTTTATGTGCCGGTTGACAAATCCGAGGTCCACGGTCATTAAAAATACACAAGGCAAGCAACTCCAGATTTTAAAAAATCGACCCCTCGCTTGGAAACTGGCTCAAAAAAAGTAGTTATGATAAGTTCCTTGTAAAACAATATGTATCCGTAGGTAGTGTGTATATTTACCTTTTATTTGGTGCTTAACATTACAGGCAACGAGAAATTCACAATACGTACATGAGATTAACATCTCAATAACCGGAGATTTTATCGTCCATGTAATTATCTTTGACGGAAGTAACATGCCATTTCAAGGGCGGTCACTCCGACTTTTTGGGAGAAGAGTTCCGGATAGCACTATACCAGTGAACAGGTAAGAAAGTTTCCGATGTCATTACGCGCGTAACTTCAAAATAGATATTTTTATTTCTACAAATACATTTGCGGGGATGGAAAAATAATGGCTGGGCAAAGAAAGTCCACATTTGCCAACTCGGATACAATATCATGGTAAGGGATTATACAGAATGCATCAACTTTCAATCAAGCTGGCGGTAATGAGAATTTTTTTTCAAAAAAAAATAGAAAAAAATCATGCAGATAATGAAAAAAGGGCGCAATTTATGAAAAATATCTTGGGGGAATATATTAACTTAGAAATTGGAAATTAAATTATATTTTCCATAGTGATTTTCTTTGCCCAGCCATTATTTTTCCATCCCCGCAAATGTATTTGTAGAAATAAAAATATCTATTTTGAAGTTACGCGCGTAATGACATCGGAAACTTTCTTACCTGTTCACTGGTATAGTGCTATCCGGAACTCTTCTCCCAAAAAGTCGGAGTGACCGCCCTTGAAATGGCATGTTACTTCCGTCAAAGATAATTACATGGACGATAAAATCTCCGGTTATTGAGATGTTAATCTCATGTACGTATTGTGAATTTCTCGTTGCCTGTAATGTTAAGCACCAAATAAAAGGTAAATATACACACTACCTACGGATACATATGTTTTACAAGGAACTTATCATAACTACTTTTTTTGAGCCAGTTTCCAAGCGAGGGGTCGATTTTTTAAAATCTGGAGTTGCTTGCCTTGTGTATTTTTAATGACCGTGGACCTCGGATTTGTCAACCGGCACATAAACTTGAATTCTGCTGATATTTCGTTTAAATAACGTCAGTCATGAGTGCTAAAACAAAAATCAATGTTTAAAAAATAATATCCTGGCCTCGAGTGCCTGTGGTAAAAACAATCAAACTCAAAATCTTAAAATGAGAGAAAAAAAATAAAACATTGATTGATATTCCCCTAAAACGACACAAACCAGTAAATCTTCGTCAATCTTTTATCTAGTTACTACAATTTTTTAAACTTTGTTTTGATATACATTTACATACAAATTAATTTATCATGACGTAAAAGGAAGTCATTCGCATTATATAAAATTGTGTAAGGAAGTATAAATTTAATATCTGATATAAAGATATTTCAGACGGAATCAAAAAGTATTTTAAGTAGATATAACGGGTGAATGGACAGACAGAATTACAGGGTAATTATCAAGGACTGGTGATTGATTATTATATCTCGTTATTAATAGTGGAAACATATTCTATCACATTCCTTCACACATTGATATTATCCTATCTAACCCATATATCTGCATTTTTATCTCTCTAAAAAGGACAAGTAAAAATAATTGACACGACAACTGACATTGTTATTGAAAACTGTCAATCTAACTTCCGTATCGCTTAGACTGAAGTCTCAGCATGTCTTGCTCTTGGTTATCGGACCATCAAATTTCCAAAACAAATTTTGGGAAGGGAAGTAATTTAACTACTTTATATCAACATTAAATTAAAACATCTTTATAGCGATCGTTGGTTTCACTCTCTTACTAAGAACGTGACGATACAAGTAGGTCTTTCTATGAAAACTTTGGTAACTCACTGCAGTAGGCATTACATTGATGGTGTGAGAAGAAAGTGGAAATGCCACCCTCTCCAGCGTCTGTGTTGCCGTATTGTCGAGAACGGGAGTGAACACATGGAGTGGATAAGGTGTACGAGTTTCCGTTCTTAACACCCTGTAGTCCGCATACCACAAGCTCCTCCTTACTAGCGGAGTAGGTGTAATGACAGAACGCCTGAAGGATAGCCTCACAGTTTGCTGTGGTAACACCGTTTTTGTAAATAAAAGAAACAAAATCACCTTTCAGTTTCTCTTCCAACAACACGCACTCTCCTTCGCTGAGAACTTTGTCGTAACCTTTCAGGAAACGAAAGATACCATTGAACACTGAAACAGTGTCCATCACGGCCGCTAGAGGGTGCTGAAATTTGATTGAAAATTGGGGAAACTTTTTCGAAAACTCTTCACCGAATTCCTGTGCTTTGATTGCACCACTCACTTCAGCCTTGACATCGTCTTCCGTTCCTTGTCCATAGTTCGTACATTTTATTATTGCTTGAGTTTGACTCCAGTAATTATTTGGAACGTACATCATGCCCTCGAACGCTGTTTTTCGACTGCCAACAGCAACAGGGTAGAATTCAAAGCTGGAGAACCATTCATGGCCATCTTTACTCCTGGTTAGAGACGGAAGTGTACAGTTGTTGATGTACATCAGACTTGTTAGGATCCCCATCCTAAAATTGTTAATATATTGATATACATTCGAAATCAACTTCCTTTCTTTAACCCAAATTATTTATATATATTTAAATTATAGATTTGATACAATGCATGGTGCAAAATATGAACGGGTGCTGGCTTCATTCTCGATTCATCGAATTGAAAATATAATATCATATCCATATAGTTAGATATCAATTTTAGCAGAATATTGTTGAAATTGCAATCCCAACTTGTTCTTGTATTCATTGCATATTTATGTATCCCTAATAATGATTGTATATCCATTACCATCACAATAATTTTCTTTCTAAAAACGTGCCAAAATTAATTTAATATGATAATTGTTTACCAAGTAAAATTCTCTTTTACAATGGATACACTGCCCAACAAAAGCTGATATATTAATATATACCTTCTGGTGAAGACTGTCAGTTTTGTTAAATCTGATGTATCTGACCTTTATTGGAGTTGTTTTAATACCTGTAAAGACAACGATATATGGATAGATAATTGGCGGAAATGCACCATTTTGTAAATTGATATCTGCGTAGGATCATCGCATAATCGGAAAACCTTGATGAATTTAGTTTCAAATAGATGGTTTTGCGAGATTTCCTTACGCGTTATGCAAATAATGTACAAATAAAAAATATCAAATTATCATCAATTATTCCATTAGCTAACATATGTACGTGAAGTAATAGTTTAATTTAATTCTTCTCGTATTGTCAATTAGAAAAAAAATCACATAGCAGATTTTACAAATATTGATTTAAAGTTTTGAACTTTACCTTACAAAGGTGTTGTAAAGGCTTTCCCAGTGGTGTTTGAATTCATAGAAAAAAATATCAATATCTACTTCTACATATATGCACTAAAACGCAATAGACAGCACTGTCATGTAGCGCCGCAACGTAGGATTCTTAGTGCGTGGAAATTTTCAGTAAGTAAAATGATCACCAAACTGAACGTAACCAAATGAGATGTTTCAATATTAATCTAGTGAAGATAATGACACTTAAATTCATGGTGATAATTACTGCAGTCCAATATTGAATAGTTGCTTTTTTGCGTAAGAAACTTTCGAATTCATCAACTCGTATAAGATAAAACAGTTCTTAAATTGTCCATTATAATAAAATTAACTTGATATTATAAACATATAGTTACATAAATTGTTTAAAATTTCACTTACCTGTGGAATATATCGCCTACCTCAGACTGGCTTTGCCAGGTAAGTTGTCATGTATATATAGGTAATACGTATGTTTAAAAAAAGTGCCACGACAGTGCAGTGGTAGGGTATTTATGAGTGGAAATTCCCAACAAAACAAACGATAGATAACAATTTAAACAAGTTTAAAAAATGAACAGCTGTTGCATTATATTATTCCCATTATCTAAAATAACAGCGAATTCCGAGGGAACGCCCACCACTTCTTAAATTTCAGGATACCCTTTTTTAACAACAAAATAACTGTTTTGGATACAGCAGCAATCAAATATGAACGTTTTATGGAATATGAAGGAATTGTTAAGATACCTTAAATCCATCATCAATACATATAACATGCAAGAGACGACTTTAATTATATCAGATTTACAAGGCAGGTGTCGTCTATGAAACAGACGACGCTTACTCTTCCTGTACACTTGGTTTTTGTTCTTTGTTTTTGTATCAGTGAATTATACGAGTCAATGGAAAAACCCTTAAACCTTCAATTTACATAGACGACTCATCAACAAAATTTAGAATCGAATAAATTTGACTTCAGATCAATAAAAAATAGTGAGAGTATCCCTGAAGCTTTGAAACCTTCTGATAAGATACGTTAAGTTATTAGAGGCATAAAAATCAATAAAAAACGTTTTGAAACGAACAACTTTCCGTTTCACTAACAGTTTATGGTGCCTGACGTAAATATCAAATATTGTAAAATTAGAAATCAGTTTACGTGAAACATGACAAGCCTTTTCTTGTCCCTCTTTCTCCGCCAACCTCAGTCGTCGTTCATGACCATCTCCTTCTTATTAAGGCTTTTGTCAGGTTTCCTCAGATCTTGTATAGGAATTCTGTCCTTCCGGTTTGTTTGAGTATTTGTAGGTCCCCTCTGTCGTGGTTCAGGAATGCTGTCCTTTCATTTTGTTTAAGGGTCTGTCAGATATATTCAATGGTTCATTACTGTCGTCCTTCATCTGTTAAAGTAGCTGTATGATTCCAGTTTAACAGCATTATCAATTCTACTCATTGTCTTGTTGACGTCATTACTATATAAACCCCTGATACTGTAGTAGGTAACATTTTGTTTGCTATAACACAAACAATTAAAACAGAGACATAAAATCCAAGTAAACAAAGAATTTTATTAAAACATGAATTCGTTCAGATAACATCATCTTGAATACATCAGATCAAAGTATGTATCATATTTTGGCTTTAATTATTAAGCAAGGATCGATTTATGATTAATCTGTACAAAATTACAGAAGGAAATTTGCTGGAAAATTTTAATTCTTTAAACATATTACAACAAAGCAGTCTTGTATACAATGGGAAAAAAGAAGGGAAAAGGTGTATAAATTCAAATAATAAATGTAAATAAATGTTTTATATAATGGACCATATATATCACATAAAATAGAAAATTATGCTCTAGATTAAAATAAAAGATAAATATCTACATTTTATAATGATATAGATGTATAACTTATATCACATTAATAACTAGATCAATTCAATAAACAAAAGTGTAGTAAAAGTAAAAAGAAATCCTACCTACAAAACTTCCTTCCGATTGTGAGATAAATATTGTTTTGCTTTAACTTTGATTTAAGGTACATAATCACAGCCAGGTGAGCCATACAAATGACCTAACGTCACCATTTCGTACATAATAAGATATTCCTATATTAGGCATTCCTACCTGTCATACTATAGTATGTTATGACATGTGAGATGTAGACAAAATACTTAATGATGATGAAAAGGAATATAATTCAGATTGGTCCTTCTAGTCGATTTATAAATAAAGCCCTTGATGGAAATTGAATGACTTGAATGAGATATGGAAACAAAATTTTTAATTTCACTACTTTGTGTAAATGTTTAATATGTACATTTCTATGAGATGAAATGCATGACTCGTCGTGATATCACTTCGAGATTAGAAAATACTAGTTCGAATAAAGTTATCATTTAGGTAGGCTTCACACAATGGTCATTCGATAGAGTTTACATATATGATAATTTCAAAATTACATATGAACATATGCCTTAAAGAGACATCTACTTGCCAATTTACCCTTAAAACAGGTATCATTTATAGTTTAATTTCAAAAAACGGTGTTAAAAACTGTATAAGAAACCTAACCTTTTCAAGAGTTACATAGAATTAAATCCCGGGATTCACTCATTCTTAATACTGTTGCCGGAACAATATCATTCACCATATTTCAGTGCATTACATACTTGTAACAACATGTTAATACATCATATCTACAAAACTTATGCTTTTGCTTCATTTGAATACCAGTAAAGCAACAGTTCAATCACTATTAATGGAGACAAAAACATCAAACTAACATCAGAGAAGACAGATTTCAAGGATTAGTATCACATTATCTCACTATCACCACAGGAAACCATTCTTAGGGCAAGTTATTTGATGAGGCAAATTTGTAGCTTTTCGTAGTCATTTGAACACTTTCAAATGAAGAATGTTTGATTGTAAAATCAATATGTTCGAACATCTGCCGAAGAGAAAGGGTTCATCGACCCAGCATTGTTTGATTTTCCGTGACAAGCCTTACTTTGAAAGTCGTATGGAGGTGGTGGCTGGGAGTCAATTCCTTCATAAGCAGGGGGATGTATTTCCGCCGTTACTAACATACTGCGCTCATTGTAAGAAAACTCTGGACTATCACACCCTGACCTTTCGCTTGGATATTGTAAGGGAAACGTGTCTTCGAATGAATACGGCTTCTCGTATGACATACTTGACGACGCGGATAAGTCTGTAGGTGAAAACTTCGGTAACTCGCTGCAGTAGGCATTACATTGATGATGTGAGAAGAAAGTGGAAATACCGCCCTCTCCAGCGTCTGTGTTGCCGTATTGTCGAGAACGGGAGTGAACACATGGAGTGGATAAGGTGTACGAGTTTCCGTTCTTAACACCCTGTAGTCCGGACACCACAAGCTCCTCTTTACTGGCGGAGTAGGTGTAATGACAGAACGCCTGAAGGATAGCCTCACAGTTTGATGTGATAACACCGTTTTTATATATGAAAGAAACAAAATCACCTTCCAGTTTCTCTTCCAACAACACGCACTCTCCTTCGCTGAGAACTTTGTCGTAACCTTTCAGGAAACGAAAGATACCATTGAACACTGAAACAGTGTCCATCACGGCCGCTAGAGGGTGCTGAAATTTGATTGAAAATTGGGGAAACTTTTTCGAAAACCCTTCACCGAATTCCTGTGCTTTGATTGCACCACTCACTTCAGCCTTGACATCGTCTTCCGTTCCTTGTCCATAGTTCGTACATTTTATTATTGCTGGAGTTTGACTCCAGTAATTATTTGGAACGTACATCATGCCTTCGAACACTGTTTTTCGACTACCAACAGCAACAGGGTAGAATTCAAAACTGGAGAACCATTCATGACCATCTTTGCACTTGGTTAGAGATGGAAGAGTACAGTTGTCGGTGTGCTTAAGTTTAGAAAGAATCCCCATCCTGGAATTAAAGTAATTTTACTTATAATGCTTTACAGTATTGTTAATATACCAATAATCATACAAGACCAGTTAAATGACCTCGTTACGCAACTATTTTCAGAAACGATATGTGATTCAACACATGAAATATGAAGAAAGAAACGTCAATGATTAATATGATTCATAGTTTTTAATCCAATCTTTTCCACGACACTAAAATGAAATTGGATTATGCAAATAATAAACCAGCAATTAGAAATTTTCTATGCAAGTTAAGGTGGCATTGGTGTTATGTTAGAAATGTCTGCCATATTCATTCATGCTGCCTATTTGTTTTATTCCGAGCAACTCGGAGAATAATGTACCATGAAACGAAGTTCATTTAACATAATTTGATTCGACACTTGTTTAGTAAATTAAATCATTTTGAAACCATTCTTTTCCGACATCAATTAATGTTGCTACTGTTATATTATGGTATAATGATAGACTTGGCATATATACCTTCCGGTGACGAGGCTGTCGGCTAAAGCGTTTCAGACCTGTAAAGCTGAGTCGGTACTGCCTGTAAGGTAAAGGCTGACAGGTAATGATACATTCATGTACCATGACATATGATATCGTTACTCATGTTAATACTTGTTAGGTAAACTCCAGCAAGGTTTACAAACGTTTACAAAAGGTTAAATGAATAAAATTTCCCTTGAAATGAAGTTCCTGAACAACATTCCTTATTCTAAGAAGATCATCGAATTTTGATAAATTGAGATGATATATATGTGTTGTGCAATGACTGCTTTCATAGAACTGGAGACATGAAAATATTTTATAATACCTGCTGGTAATCAATTCTTCGTTAATTACACCTTCAGGAAAATCAAATTTTGGATTCCATATAATCAATGAGTTCTCCTTACATATAATAATTACAGTTGTATCGTTTTTAAAAGGGAATGACAACTTTACAAATTACAAAAATTAATAATAGTTACAATTATATTGACAAAATGTTGTAACCTGATCGAGACGAGATATTGCCTTCTTCAAGAATGCTCAGCTGCGTTTCCTTGAATAGAGAAAAAAGTGTTTAATGTATACATTACCAGGCATGCATCATAAATCAGCTATATTTTGCACCACGCTATTAAAATGTCACATGCATAAGTGTTCGCTTAAAAACTGTATATAATTTATTTTCTCAGACAAACATTCTATATTGACAAGACATAAAGACAAAGATATAGCAAAATCAATGAAACAGGTAGTTACGAATATAGCCCCACTTGCGTTCCCGGCCGAAATGAATATTCTCCAAATATATTAATCTATAAATAGCTATAATTCTTCTTGTTACTTACAGTTTCAGATCTAAAAACAAACTCAATGAAACAGGTGGTTATGAATATAGCCACACTTGCGTTCCCGGCCGAAATGAATATTCTCCAAATATATTAATCTATAAAATAGCTATAATTCTTCCTGTTACTTACAGTTTCAGATCTAAAAACAAAGTCAATGAAACAGGTGGTTACGAATATAGCCCCACTTGCGTTCCCGGCCGAAATGAATATTCTCCAAATATATTAATCTATAAAATAGCTATAATTCTTCTTGTTACTTACAGTTTCAGATCTAAAAACAAACTCAATGAAACAGGTGGTTACGAATATAGCCACACTTGCGTTCCCGGCCGAAATGAATATGCTTCAAATATATTCATCTATAAATAGCTATAATTCTTCTTGTTACTTACAGTTTCAGATCTAATATGACGTTTTACTCTCTATCTTACAAATTTATCGGTTATTTGTTAATTTAGTTCTAAAGTAATACAAATTAAGTCCTATGGAAATACTAAGCACATCTACATGTCAGTAGTAACTGTTTTAAGGCATGCGAACGTGAAAACGTTTTCTTGATTAAAAGCAAGTTGACTTTATTATACATTCTCTTGTAGAATCCCTTTCACTGGATTCTGTAATAAATAATAAGAACAAGGAAGAAATAAAACTGTATAATTGTCTCGTTAAGCTTCGTCATTCTTCTATTTTCCCAAACTGAACAAAACTGCAGGCTTCGAAATCGTATACTAGAATAATGATGATAATGCTGATATAACGATGTAATCTGAAGACAAAATGACTCTTTTTGTTGTTTTGTAACCTAACAAAGCGTTACATTATCTGTAATATATTTACACAATAATGAGTCTAAAGAGAAGCCCTACTACAACATATTTGGTATTTAACTTTCGTAACCAAGATTGAAAATTAATTAAAAAAAAAAATGATAATGTTCCGAGTTGGGTACGAACATGTGTGATACTAAAATATATTACTTAATTTGGTATCGATATGAAACAGAGTTATTAAAACACCAGGATTTCTTTTCTTAACAAAATAAAATTATTACAGAAAAGAGTCCTTTGACATCAGCTGAATGTGGAAAAATAAATTTGTGTAAATTTGTGGATTAAGTACAGCAGAACATCAGAGTTGATAAAGAGTATTAAAAAATGTATCACAAACAGACAAGCAACCTTAACAGTATTGAAACATGATGACACTTGTGAAGTCTATCAAGCAGTCAATGAAAAACCGTTAAATTGTGGTTTCATGTTACTTCTTAAATCTTTAATATAATAAGATAATACTTTTGAGAAAGGGCATCAAACACAGAACAGTAATCACTTTTAATTTCTCACTATTCGTCTGCTATATAGCAGGTTCTTTCTCATTCTCCTATAAATGGTTAATACAAATTTGTAAATACAAATCCCAGCACCAATTACTGAGAGCAACAGATCGCACCTGTAACGCAACCTGCGTTAATATGGGTTAATTAGACATTACTGTTCCTTTATTTTATGTTATGAACAAACACGTTTTCTACATGACAGTTAGCATGTGTAGTTAATGGTTCACAAATGCAATTGCGTGTCAGGGATGTGTGCGCACGTGCAGTGTACACGTGTTTTTACATATATAATGCCTCATGTTTAAAACAACACACACAATATGTTTTTTATCAGGTTACATATGTAGTGGATCCAGTCATTCTAGTGTATCGTGTATGGAGGATAGATATAGACAAGAACGATTAAACTAAATATATATATAAATAATTAAAAAAGATAAAAACTTTATATATCATATATATATATATATATGTGGGGTGGGGGGTGTGTGTACAGTATCAACATGAGAATAATTATACTTATACACACGTCAAACGTATATTTATCAATACATTTCTAACCTTCAATCAGTCTAAATTGTCAATTATAAGAAATATTACATACGTGCTTGTTACATCATTTGGAATATTTTTCACTTGCTTTTATTTCATTTACACATCCGGACAGTAGAGAAAAATGTCGGAGGAATCTTTAAATTATAAATTCGACGATGATTTATCTAAAGATTGCGCGAAGACTAGGAAAAAAGGTTCGATTTTCTAACATCTATACAGTGGGGTTATAATTAGAGGAGGTATGTATGACACAGATACAACAAGAAAATATCAAGAAAAAATGATAATCCAAACTCGTATCAAATAAAACTCGGCAAACATTTTAGCAAAAGAGGGATCAACACGTAGACACCTAAAACGTACGACAATCAGTAAGACCAAGTGTTCCGGAAGAGTAAACGTCTTCTGCTTCATTGCCATATAAATCTCAGTCAATCCAAGTAAGTAATGTCACGTTCTCAAATGAGAACAAGGTATACAACAATGGCATCAACAGGCAAACTAGCGAGTATACATAGTAAATATAATTGTCGATGACTAAGTCGGCAAATGACAAAGGTTAGTCACAAGTCAGTACCAAAAATTTGTGATGTTCTGATGATAATGGAAGTAGAAATAATGATTTGTGATGTTCTGATGATAACGAACGTAGAAATAATTGTTTTTTGATGATTTGATGATAATGAATGTAGAAAAATTTTTAAAAATAAAAAATACAAAAAATCACCAGTATTAACATCGACCTTGTTCGGAGTTCGATATACTGAATAGACGATTGTACAATTTTACGGAGATGATATCAGTTTATATCTATAAAACAAGCACGTATCATTTATGTACAGTTAATGTAATACAAAAAACACACTGATAAGTTAATTGTAAGTGGGTGTACCAAACATAAATGCACTGTTCAACGTGAATGTATGTGTGTTATATTCTTATCATTCGTTAATAATCAGTGTTATCAGTGTATAGGTAAAATTATCCGAGTTGAATACCAAGAAAAAATCAGCAAATACAGTCTCATTACATAATCCTACACGAAACAGAAACGAAAGTAAGACCTGTGAAAAGTGATGTGGAAACCCTGCTGTTATGATAACCTTACCTTTTGGACACATATACCGAGGCTGAACATAAACATACTTCGCCTTCAGTGGCCTAATAACTGTGCAATCCACAAAATCTCAATTTCATCCGTAATCTCTTTTAGTTCTAACCTTAAAACAGTTAAATGATATACATACATATCTGTAAGAGCTCTCTGTTCGGCACGTGTATAACATTCCCTGTAATATGATCGCCCATCCGTGCATGCACGTCCGCTGTCTAAGATGAAAAGGGCCTTGTTTCAGCAGCTGAACTCGTATGCATACGTATATAAACCCTACCTATAGATGTTTTATAGATATATATATATACAAGTATGTGTGTGTATGTGTGTGTGTGTGTGAGGGAGATATCTGTCGATGAGTACAGCAGGTTAAGATGGGTTCCGTGCTGTCTTTAACAGACTGCTATGTTACATCTCGGTCCCGGATAGAGCAAAAACCTAAACCCTGAAGCCATTGTCGATTTTCATCAACATGACTCGCAAATCGCAAAACCTAATGAGTATTCAAGTCAATTTTAATCGCCCAACCAGGCTTCTAGATACAATTTACAGTAAAAGGGACCGATCGTTCATGGGAAAGTGCATCAATTTAAAATTGAATTACACTTTTGTCTGACTATTTCAATTTATATCCAAGAGAACATTTTTAGTAAATCTTATTTTCTTTGCCAATTTAATAGTTTAGTTATGCACAAGTGGCTTTATTTCATGGCTATCTTATTTTGATGAGGTAGTATTACTGATTTAATCATGCAATCTAGAGATTTAACATTAAACGTTGCCCTTTACAAAAAACTATAGTTACTTGTATATAGTCAAGAGTTTGCATCAATGTCTTTATACATGGTATAAAGATACACTATGAAAGGGGAACAATAAGATTCAATATTACTCTTTCATCTGCTGGTGTCTCTATGGTCACTACCAGACAAATTTACTTACACTGAGTTTTCAATAATCTCATTCAGCAAAAAAAAAAGAAATAATATAAAAATAATCTCAAATATTCATACTAATCGGTTTTAATGTGTTATAGTTGATTTAATGTTTCTCTTCGTGGTAAACTAACTTGACTCGATATGTCTCCCTTACAATGTAACCTCTCGAGTTTATATTAGCAAATTCAAAGTGTCTCTAAATAGTCAATATGTGATCTTAATGCACTTTCATGTAATATAGATATAAAAATGCAGAAAAAATCTACTAAACCTGCTTCACGGCAGGGAAATCACTGGTTTATTCACGAATTCATTCCATCTCTTGTGTGTTATTGATTTATATAAAACACAGGTACCCTGAACAGTGACTGTGAAAAACAAAGATCACGTACCTGTATAGCTGGCGGATTGTCGTTTATAGTTCTAAATGATGTCGATATATTTCCTGTTCAATAGATAATACACACTCATTAACATATTGTCATTATCACCGACTGTATGTATTGAAATATTAAACGGGTAAGAGGTGAGTTAACACGTCCAGTAAATATCTCAACACGGAGGGCAATCATCCAGCTTCGTGTTCACTAGCCATTCATTAGTGTATCTAATCGTGATTCACAGATTTAACATCCTGAGAACTAATCTTGTGTTATACACTACCATCACAATCACTCAATAGCTTTGGCTATAAAACATCTAGTGTAGTATGATCCGGACGGAAATTAACAACGGGAAGTCAATTGTACCTATATGCGTAATAGTGAAACAAGCCCTACTTCATAAAGTCATCTTTTAGTCAAACTTACTCTTATCAAATGTCCATTTCTTCACACGGTCAATATATTCACTCACCTGACCACCGGCTAACTGCTTAGGTTAATTAACTTATTCTCACAAGAATTCACCTGGTCATGTCATATCTATGAGTTACACTTGTGTGTATCGGTATGTGTATGTAATTAATTCTTCGATGCGTCTGTGTCAATGTTAAAACGGGCCTGATCACGACGAAAATTGTAAACAAACGTTTGTAAATTGATCTGATTGTTCTATTCTTTTGTGTGTTTGTTTGTATACTATTGTATATCATGTTTGCTATTTGTGTACAGCTATTTAAATTTGCACTTATATATTCATTTAAAGATAGGATTTCAAATTAATAATCTAAACCATCTTTATAGTCAGACAACGTCTTTGAATTAAATATCAACCATTTAAACGGAGAAGATTACTAAAAGGACAAAATGTTTACTAGAGCGAAGTTAACTCAATCAGATACAAATGATTAATATTCAAAAGATTAACAGATATCAAAGATTAAAGATCAAACGCGTTGCATACAAAGCGACGTTGGTTTAAACCAGTAAGTAGGATGGGTTTAATCCTTACAAAACGTACCATCAATTTCACACAGATTATCACACTGATTTCTCCATTACTTATCTCCAATGATATGTCCAGTGCGGAGTGAAATATCTCTGTATCATATTACGAGACATAAATATCTCTGTCTAGGATCACCTAACATAAACTCCCTCAAAGCACGTGATTTTGTAAAACGTTTAATAACACAGTGTTGATATCATGTAGAAAATGTGCTTTCCATAAATATATATATATATATATCTGAAGCAGATATGATTGTCTTGAAGAAAAAAAATCGTTCATCTAGTAATAACTGTTGAGAAAGGTTGTACGCTACTCAAGGATATTTTACTGAATAAACATAAACCTGTTTGAGGTATGGAAGACCCTCCTGGTACACCAGTTAGCCGTTCTCAAAGACCATACTGGTTGGTGGAGAGTCAAACAATAAAAAAAATAAATAAATAAAAACAAAACATTGATTCATTCTTAGTATACATCGTTTTGAAACTATAAATAATATTGATAAGCATAGATAAATAATATACAAAGATCGTACACCAATAGGAAAGTGCAGTTACCTAAGATTTCATTAAACACCGACTTATATAATATAATCTGTTATCTGAATGCATAATTCATTTTTCTCGATATTCTCGCCATACGAGAAATACTAGTATGATTGCAGAGTGTCCAGTAAAATCAATTGGGTATCTTTATTACCCGCAGTTACTGTATCAACCTGAAGTAATAAATCTGGTTCACCAGGAAACGAGAGTGTAATTTACGAGAGGAGCGAGACCTTTGACTATGTTTAAAATTCTGTCTATGCAGATAAAACCCGATACGTAGAAATACCGAACGTTCAAACAAGCAGTTGGAATAAAAAAGAGTGGCACATTTACCTTCACATGAAATGAGGGAGTACCATTTTGTCTTACCCCTAAATCTTAATCAATCCATGAAACGTATTTATCACTGTCGAACGACAACAAAAAATGAGCTGTCTGTTAAAATAAGAATGTTTAGTAACTCGTTGTGACAGTTTGATAGTTATCATACTGTTTCACGGAGAACTAGGACGCATGTTGATTTCACTGATCCCACCCTATCGATTTAATTTCTTTTTCTATTTTTCCTATCGACAACATTGTCTTTCCATGCAAAAATGATTGGCATCGAATCAAAATTGATTTGATTTTTGTCTTAATTTATTTTGACATTCTCACCGACAAATAATGTTATATCATGGCTTCTCTACATTCGATTGCATTATATATGGAAATGTTTCGTGTATAGAGAGAGATACCCTTTGGTCACGTGACCATTATTTGACGTCATCAATCTTAAAGTGAGAACACGACATTTGTTTGCCACGATAATGTATTCAATGGTTTATATTTCTATAATCAAATAATTTCGATAGCCCAATCAATGAGGTATACACATGGCAACCATGAATTGACAGCTTTCTGTATTATTGTCCATGTTATCCTTAGAATAGTCACTAATTAGTATATGTTACAAGAGCTCTCTCTTATACTGTAAATATTTTCTATCTTTTTTTATAACAAAAATATTGACACTTGATTTGTGGATAATATAATCAATAAATCTAGTTTATACTTATTTTAACTTTTCGTGGACATTAGAATCCATGGATTAAGAATACCTATGAATTCGATGAAAATAAATCAAACACGAAAATTAATGATTGTACATATATTCCATATATACAGATGAATAAATCTATTTGGACTACCAAATATAGTCCTTTACTTCAACTATGTACCGATTAGGGAGATGATATATCTGCTGACTGTAATTTTACACTGATATGTTGTTTGTGTTTTTTACAACTTAAATAGGTTGTTTACTAACTAGAATATGATGACTTTTTCGTAGAAATCAGTAAAACGATTTCCGTTTTTTTCCCTTGTATGTAACAGTTTAAATATGCAAGAATCGCGCTTATAACGCTCTTTCTACAAAAGCCTGGTATATCCGCATTCCACTGTCAAAAAAATTGGGGCCGCATTATATACTAATGAATACACAAGATACCCAGAACCACCAATAGCGTGAACTCGAAATAAAAAATACAAAATTAATGAGAAATCTGATCTTCGTTATATTTGTCGGCCTTCATTTGATATTCAAACCGGGAAGTTTGTTTCCCATGCCATTATGACGTATTTACATTGTTCTGTTATTTCATACTAAATGATTAGCTCTATCTCAGGCAACTACGGTATTGCATAATATGCCGGAAGAATTTCAGCATCATTGATACTTGACTTTAAAATCATAAGGTATTTACACATTAATACAATGTAGTATTAGAGTAAGGAAGCATTACTTTATGTCATATGAAAGCCTTTTAAATTAAAAACACTTTTAAATACAGAAAGAGAGGATCGACGTTTCGCCGTATTGCTTGTTACAGCAATTCACAACTGTGAAAGGAAACGGGAAATATATTTTCCTGTTTCCTTAACTGTATCAATTATTGATCCCACATCAAAACAAATAAGGAAATATTAAAGTGTAATTAAAGTAAAATACGGTTAATCCTCGTGAAGTCCAAGTCATTTAACTCGAATATCTTCGAAGTCTCTGGTCTGTTCCGATATTCGGGTAACTCTGAGTTTTCGTACGGTACCCACGGTTCTCACATACTACAAAGAACTAAAACATTGATACGTAGAAATATGATGCGATTGGTTTCATTACTGAAGTTCTTATCTTAACTTGTGGTCTAAAGCCGAGACAGAAATTAATCATTTTCTTTTTTTTAAACTTCAGTCTGATGTTGCCTCA